AGTGATGTTTGACGAACATGATCTGGTCAAAAGAGCCGCAACTGAGTGCATGTGTAACATGGTGCTCTGTGAAGAGGTAGGAGGTGAAACTGAGAATAGAAAATGGCCGAGTAGATCTCGACGATCGTTATCAAAGATGTAGTCTTTTGTCGTGACTCTAACCGAACTCTAACGTAGGTCCATAGCAGTGCTTAAGCTTGCTGATAACATCCCCTTTCTCGATGAACTCCTTAAACCCAAGGGGTGACTGGAGTCTGATTTTTATCATTCCTTCAATCAACCGTGAAGGTCACGACTCAGATTAAAGAAAAGATCTGCAACTTGAGGAGTTCTTGATGATAAACCCTTCACCCCCAGATGTGACTGGCTACTAATTTCTCACTGCAATATCACCCCTGAATCACACATTAAAGTCATGAGAATAAAGGTAATGATCACAATTTAGGAAGCTCCTGATTGTCATACAAATTCTCCTTGTCAGTGCCAGAGGAAATTTGAGGAAAACAGTCAGGAGATTATGAAAACCAAGGGGTAAAGGGTTAGGAAAGTTTTGCGTAAGCCTCTCCCCTTCCCCTCTCATCTTCTATTAAGCCCCTTCCATTTATAAGCCCCACGACCAGGGCCGGGTTGTTCAAAGGTGGGTTAAAATAATCCAGGGTTATTGTGAAATTTAATTGAAGATCTGAAAGCTTTAAAATTAATTTCACTTTAATTCCATTTGTTCACAATTTGTTGATTGAATGCTCTTAGAAGAATCGGGAAAATTATTTTAAAACGGCTTTTGAACAGAGAAATATAAAACCCTGGATTAAAATTTAACCCTGGGTTAGCGCTAATCGGTCTTCGAACAACTGGGCCCAGAACTTTAATTCGTCAACGGTACATTGGTTTCGCTGTTTCCTCTTTTTTTTTCTGTGTTTTTGCTTGGCGACAGGTATTCAAAATGTATGAAAAAGAAGACGCTCCCACAGAAAGAGTGAAGCTTTTGACCCTGTTGTCAGGCGAAGAAGACTTT